CCCCAAAAAACAAAGACCCTCAAGAAGGAAAGACATTGCATGAAAACAAAAGCAAAATATGAAAGTTACCTAATTAGTGAGACTCATAAATCACATATAAAGATTCACCCTATATAACATCAGAATGAGTCAGCAGGAACTCTCTCCACCTCTAAGACCCATCGAAGGGATAGGAGCAGAGCGGGATGACTTTGTAATCTCATTTTACCTGAGCATATTTCTCAACATTTTTGGACTTCATTTATCTTTAACAGACATTAATATTTCGTATGCCTCTTATATTCCCAAGCAGTCTCAACAATTCTTTTACAGTGTTGCTGTACCATATTTCTGTTCTACTATATTACCATTGTTTTTTTCTTCTTGTCCATGACTGAGGACTGCATTGCAATCTATGATCATTGCAATGTCTTTCCCTCTCTTGTTTTCAAGTGCAAATTCTCTCTCTTGAAACGGATTTTTTTTACCAGTACCTATCAATCTGTACCAGTACCTATAACTCTGTCCATTTGTGTTGTGAAGTTTCATTTTGTTTTCATTACTATAGTCTTCACCATTATTTGGTTATTCTTGCAGAACACTCAGACCCCCTTCTGCTGATGCTTCCTCTCAACCCTACACCTTGGACAACTGCAAAGACTGCTAAGTTATATCACTCCCCATGGTGACTTCTCAGGCTTCTCAGAAAAGCCCATCCATAACCTTGGAGAAGGTGCTTAACCACCCCTTTTCAAAAGAAAATGCTGCCACCTCATTTTTAGCCAATTATCACCAGCTTCACAGCTCTCATGCTACCATCTACCTTACCTGGTGGTTTTTCAAGTTAGAGGATATTAGATGTTTTGCAGAAGTCCAGCTAGCTTTGTTTCATCTTCTCCACAAAATCAGTTATGGAGGAATGGTATTGAACTTTGGGAGAGTAAGAGAGCAAGCTGCTTGGATTCTAGATAGAAATTACTAAATATGAACCTGTAAAGTTCAGTGTGGTATCATATATTCTTATAAACCTTGCCTGACTTGTGAATTTGTTAACCACAATTGTCACACAGAGATTATTTGCTCCATCTATTTTAAATGGACACAGAGCCCAAACAGTTAAATGTAAAATTGAGGTTTACTTATATCTTGGATATGATCCCTTCCCTTAATTTCTTTTTGTATTGGGCCAGCAATGCCATCTTAATTTTGATCTTGTTAATAAGGAGGAAACTGTGCTGTTGCTCCAGTTAATGGTTCAAGCAAAAAAAAACCCCTTAAAATTTAGATGTTTTAAAAACATAAATCCTAAATTTTAGATCTAATTTTAAATTAGATGTTTACTGGTTCTAAAACAGTAAACTGAACTAAAGGGAAAAGTCTTCTAGGCTATATTTATCTGAAATTTGCTCATACTCAGGTGGAACCAGACATAATCTCAAACTGTTCATTGAGCAGTTGTGACAGTGCTATTTACACTAAAAGTAGGTAATGGACCTTATACCCACACAGTATCTTTAAACTACAATAAAATGCATCTGTATAATATTCACTCAGAAAACTAGTGTGGAAGATGAACCACAGAAAATCTTAAAGTAATAAAGCCAAATAATGAGTAATTTTTAGAATGTAAGCAAATAGCTGCAGGAGCATTTGGTCAATATCAATTTGGGAATAATTAAAAAAAAAACCATTCAGGACTATCTATATCTGGTGAAGTGCTTTTTCATCCTTCACCTCTCTGAATAAAAGGTATGTGTTTGGCTAATTTCTTACTGCTTCTTGATCCGCTTTTCCTTGCCAGGAAAGGCTTGGCAGGCAGGTATAGCTCTTCCTCAATGTCAGGGAGAGAAGTGGTGTTTGCATGTAACAATAAACACTGCATAGTCTTTATTAAACAAATATGATTTATGGAAGCATAGAAGAATGACTTGCAAACAGACAGCTTCAGTTTCCTTCTTGTTTTTGCCCCCCGTCTACCTTCTGTCTATTCAAGCTTTGCTCTGCTAATTGTATGATTAAACTCATAAAGGTGCCCATGTGAGCTCATTTCTGCCTAGAGCTGCAGTAGAACAAGGAAACCTTCTCTGCAGAATGCAAGTAGAGGCATAGTGCCTCCAGTGGCAGGGTGGGCAGTAAACATCTTGGTGAGGAATTAAAATGACTCCTGGGCTCCAGGAAGTAGCAAAAGAAGTGACCTTCTGAGAGAAGCTTGAAAGTCCTTTCTGGTATTACCAGTGACAGCCAGAGTCAGAGTGATTTACTAAAAAAACATAGGTCCTATCTAGTGCACCTTTCAAAAAAATAATGACATTATTAAAGAATTTAGTGGTACAAAGGTATTTTTGTTCCTAGTTCAGAGTCAAATATTATGTTGCATTCACAAAATCATGCAAGAATTTTTGCAGCCTGGATGATGCTTGAAAGTATTTCTATTTCCTTAATGTGTGAAAAGTGCCATATTGAAAAGAAAAATCAGAATAAATAATCATAAGATTTTATACACTTGCCACACTCATCTTAAAGCTGTTAGTAAACACCCAGCAGGACTTATCCAAATTACACAACTCTGCTTTCATGACCTATCTCCTCTTCACTTACATCCTACCCTGTTTTTCCTCAAGCATGTCACTGAACTTCCATTTGACTACTTTCAGAGGGAGGGCTTTTTTCCCCAAAAAGCCCAACACTCTGTTACCAGCTGTGCTCCTGGCAACCCTGGTTGACCTTCTACACCCACCAATGCTGTGGGTCTACTGGCATGATTCCTGTCCTGCTGGTGGTATCAAGGAAGCTGTTGGATTTTTTTTTTTTTTTTTTTTTTTTGGGGGGGGGGGGGTGTGTGGATTTTTTTTGTTTCGTCTGTTTGTTTTGTTTTTGTATTTTTGTTTGTTTTCAGTGAGCACATACCTACATACCCGTCGTGCTGTGGACTATTGCCCTCTGGAGTTCAAAGCTGGAACGAGCGTTTTCTCAACGTGTCTTTCAGACGGAAGACTGCACTATTCGCCTCTTTTGCCTCGGCTGAGTGAGTTTACAACTAAGCAGGAATTTTTCTGACTTTCACTGAGCCTGGTTTACCTGCAGAGACAGCACTGAAGTATTGGCTCCGTGGAATTACTTCGTTTTTTGTGAGGATCAAGCCAGCAGTGGAGCTAATCCTTGTTCACTACACTGTTAATGCTTATAACAACCACAGAACTATTTTAAAGACGTTTAGAAGTCTTTGACATTTTTGCATATAAGTGGTTTCTTGTTCCCACACATTGTCGTTAGTTATGGAAATTATTGCCTTAATAGAAAACCACAATCATTACAGCAGTATTTGTGTGTGTGTGTGTGTGTATGTGTGTGTGTGTGTGAAGACAAGGAACTCACCTATCCTTTCAAAGCAAACTTTCAAGAAATAATACATGAAAAAAAAAATTTTAATAAAAAAAAAAAAAAAAAAAAAAAAAAAAAAAAAAAACCAAAAAAAAACAAAACAAAACAAAACAAAAAAACTATTGCATTCCGTGTAAATTTGACTGTACAGAGCCACAAGTTTTTTTTTGTGCCCAGCTGCTCACAAAACTTAAATAGTAACAGCTCTGGTCTAGAAATACAGGTCCAAGAAAGAATGTCATTTCACTTAGCTTTTTCCATGTCTTATGGAATCATGTAAGTGTGTTAGTGTTCATCTGTGTTCCAGTCTAACAGCATTTGAACCCTTGATTGCTTGGAATTATGAAGCTGGGTTCCTTAGGGTTTTCTTGAAACAGATGCCAAGACACAGCACAGAGACCATAAATCTAATAGGGGTGGTAACTGTGCCAGATACTTTCCTTCTTGGACTACTAAATAAATTAACCAGGAAACACAAATCTGTAGGAAATCATATTCCTGACATTCTGGTCACCCTGAAATTAGCTATTTTTAAATTAGGGTTTGTTAGGAAAGTGCCACTTCTAGACCAGGTTTTAAAACACTTTCAGAATATTTAGAATATACTTAACCATCCTGCAGACTGCCCTCCCAGACTTGGAGATATGTTGCCTCTCCCAATTTTCTGCCAGAAATAAACTTTCATTTGCCTTAGCTTTGGTAGGGTTGGCAGGTGGTGAAATTGGGCAACCCACAGCCTGTGCCATCAAGGGTCTGTGGTAGTGCAGGCATGAGGGAAGTGAAGTGTCTGATGAAATTTCCTCTGGAGAAACAATTTAGACAGTGACCCTGCTGCCATCAGCATCTCCACTGAACCAAATGAGACCATTCACAAACAGGCAGCAGGATGTAGATATTTAAATGGTGTTGGAATAGCTGTTCCCTAAAGTCACTGATAAGGAATATTTCACTTGACAAGAACATAATATCATTCATGCTTTACTGTGGCATCTGAATAAAATTGCAGGTGGACACTGTTGTTAGCATAGTTCCTAATGAAGATATACAGGACTCTATTTTTGGAGAATCTGTAACAGGTCTTGTGATAGCTCATGGAGATTTATACTGTAGGACGTCCTCAGGCATCTACTGTTTCCCTTCCACAAAG